GGACAGAGGCTGGATGCAAACTTTCCTCGCGTCGGGTATTGTCCTCTCCGACGTCCGCGCGGTTACGTTATAGCTGGACGTGACCAGTTATCCAACATACCTGGGGATAGTTGGGCCTGCTACCAGTTGTCAATCGACGCATCGTGGGGCGACCTGAGGGCGGAACTTTGGAGCTCAAGACGTTTTTGTGAAGGTACATCTTGTTCTGGTCTGTTTGACCTATTGATCACTTGGGGTGTTGAATGTTTATTGGCCCGACACTCTCCCTGTAAGTGGCAGTAGTTAGGTCCTTATTATCCCCCACTCATTGGGTGTCACAAGTCTATATATGGTCTGATCCCTTAGCTAGTCTATTAAGTCGAGTTTACTTAGCTAGTTAGCCTGTTGTTTCTAGCGGCTCTGTTGTTGTGCTTGAGGTGCAAGCTCATTCATGCTTGAGCGGGTACTTAGCTTTAATAAATGGTTGTATCAACAATCTGGTTGTGTATTGGCTTACTAGTCTGGATCATTTTCCCTCCAGTCTCCCTGGACGGTAGTTGGCGCCGTGACAGTATACCAATGTAGGTGTAAGATAAAGAATCTAAATTCTTTATCAGTCTTTAAAATGTTCAAGCATACCCATGCTAGTAATTCTACCGAATTGGTTGGATTCTGGTCTGATTGTGCCATCAGTTAGCGTACAACGTGCCCATTTTTCCTACAATGTCAATGTAATATTTTTGTATTGAGAAATTGAAATTCTTTTATCAGAAGGAAACAGTATACGAGCTGTTTCAAAATCAGGCGTCCTTGGGGCTGGATATGGATGACGTACAAATACACCCTATGGTCAACGTCTCTGCCTCTGCTGCCACTCTGTTGGCCCAAACTATGTTAAAGACGAGCTCTATGTCCTATTTATCTGTGGCAAATATTCTGAAATAAGAAAGAAGTGTTTCACAACCTACCAGACCCACCCTCCAACAATTGAAACCTTTGTGCGTTTAATCACCTGCAACAACATAAATTATCTAAACACATATAAGTTCATTCCTCTCTGCTGTATTAAACTAAGAAGTAAACCCACCATTACAATCTATCTATCTAAAATGTTTGTCAGTGTACCAAACTCTGCATACAAACGTATGGTTTATGTTTGGTTGTCATTTGATGACATGATTTTGTACCTTAAAAAAGGTGAATAGAAAAAAATTAAAGGGTTCAAGCATACCCATGCTAGTGACAACGAAAATCCACACATTCATAAAAAATGATCTCCGTATTTTGAAACATGATGTACGTATATTTATTAATTTTTCTTCCAAACTCACATTAGATTGCCACTCTTAAACCTGTTCTGTTCTCTCCGTCCTTCCTCTCTCCCTTCCCTTTCATACCACCGTGATATTGCTGAAATATATCAAAAAGCGGCCTAAAACAATACTCAATCACTCACACATTCTTTCATACCAGCTGAGCGTCGGTCTATGCATTTCATCGTATTGTCATTCCATTTCAAAATGTGGTACATCTCTGACAATACAATACAATCTCGTATCAACGTCAAAGCCTGGTGCATGTCTACAAGTGCGAATACGCTCTTAAGGGAAAACTTTGAATAAATTTAATATAATAAATAATAAATTAAATACACTGATAATGTAATAAATAATGAATGTATATACACTGATCATATTATTATAACGTAAAAACTATAACTATTGATTTTTTTCTGAACAGTTCAAATATTTTTAATCGTGTCACCGACGACCCAGGAATTACTCACTCTTGCGTAGGTCATCGAAATAGCTTGATCTTGTACAAACAACGTTAACCGAAACATGATCTCTTTAAGGTAGAGTGGTTTTCCCCGTGTCAAAATATGTCGTAATATCAGTTATTATTATGGCTCAAACAGGATGTCTTTGTTTGCCTAGATCCTTATACTGTCAAAATCCGCCGTGAAGAGTTGCCTCGCAGTAATAAACAATAATGTAGAATATTTATAACGCGCATTTCAGTCGTCATATCCTGCTCAAAACGCACAAACATAATCTTATTATAACCCCGGATAACCCAAGCTGTCGCCTGACTTATCCCACCGGGTACCCATTTTCTGCTGGTGAACAAGGGCAATTTTGAAAGATAGAATTTGTTGATCCTGAGTTACAAATACAATAACTGCCCTGTTCATAACGTTTTGTTTTTTCGCTATACCTATATGCTCGCTTGTGAAATCATGATGATCAAAGATTTAGAACATTATACCTCAGCATATGTGTAATCATAAAAATATGTCAAGAAATCATACCGGAAAAACTGTCACGACTTTATTACAATATAACACGAAAAAGCGTGAAAATACAAAAAAGGAAATACTAATCTTATGAAAATGTGTGTATGTAATTAATTCATAAAGGTAAGGAATATCAGAAATACCCGTAATCAGACATCCAGTTTTCAGACATTTCAGTAATAAGACGCCCATTTAACATGCATACCAGTAGCCAGATACCCAGAGGCCAGACGTTCCAGTGGTCAGACACAACGACATGAAGACACGCATGAAGACATAACTTTAGTCAGACACCGTGTTGTCAGAAAAGTCATAAGTTAGATCAGACATACCAGTCGTCAGACACTCAATTCAGTCAGTTGTCGGGCATGCAACACGTTTGCTTAGCTAAAGAAGATAAGCGTGGCTACTTTATTGTGTCGCGATCTTACTCTTGAACTTTGTTCATCAATTTTTGCGGGCTGTGCATTTGAATGTTGTAGTTATAAAAATGATTTAACTTACAAGGTTGTCGTGCTGTAGTTTGTAGCAGCAATGCAGCAATGCTCAAACTGGGCACATGGTAAGCATAGTTCTTTGCCATGTGGAAAGTGGGGCAATGGAACATGGTGAGAGTGGATTGGACATACCTGAACTACGACTGACTGACTGAGTTTGGTTTTACGCCGCTTTTAGTAATATTCCAGCAACATCACGGCGGGGGACACCAGAAATTGGCTTCACACATTGTACCCATGTGGGGATTCGAACCCGGGTCTTCGGCGTGACGAGCCAACGCTTTAACCATTAGGCTACCCCACTGCCCCACCTGAACTACGAACGTGAATGGAACACATGGTACGTTTGTATTGAGCACATGGTACGTTTGTACTAGCGATATAGTACGTTTGTATTAGGCACTTTAGCGACTGTATAGGGCACGTCGTGTTTGTACGTATACAGGCCCCATGTCCGTTTCAAATGTTCCCAGTTTTTATTGTATACGTAGCGTTCTATTTGTACTCTGCTTCTTCACTGATGTTTAACATTATAATTATTGATATAACATCAGTAAATTATCTAGACTTGATCAATAACCGCTTTTTCCGTTGTGTAAAAGCGTTACATTAAACATGGTATGTTAAGCAATGATGGTGCGCGGCTAATTATTCTCTCAGAGACATTATGATGTGCCAAAAAATAGATACAATGTCAAGCTTGTTGGTTTTTATAGCCCATATGCCCATATGTCTGTTTACAAGCACTCCTTCTCAAGGACGTCCCTAAATGGGCTAGTCATCATCATGAGTAACAGGTGTATACTCCTTTAATTAATATAAGATGATAAAATAGCAACGAACTTTGCAAAATGCAGCTCTTTTCGTTGTATTATACAACATTATCCATTCCAGCATGAAAATGGTATCATACATTGTAATAACAGTTGTTGAACATATTTGCTACGTAAAACATACATATTGGCAAACACATGAAATACTGGCATTGTCCCATAGAGCAGTAATAACATACGGCGGCATTCCAGTGGTGTCGTTTGATGGAACCACGAATACCGAGAACGTCATTGGTGTTCAAACGTCGGGGTAAGGTTGTCATTAAGGTTGCCATTAATACGTGGAATGTCTCTGTAGACGAAGGCAACCATCTCATTATCTCTGTGTCCCTGCATTGCTCTTGTCGCCGTTACATACGTATTGAGTCAATAAATATAAATAATGTCTTCGCTCCAGACACTGTTACAACGGTGTGTTTACATTAGGATCTAACTTGCAGACATGACACACGGCAAGCAGGTACCATGTACCTGTGCTTTGGATGTCACTCAAAAGCGGCGTCGATCATGGCCTTTTAAGCTAAGCTGAAACTTAAAACGGCGAGATTATTCCTCACTCCATGAGGTGCCTATTCTTGTCAGAATAGAAATAAAATATAATTATATCTGCATCTAACTGAAGAGACTCATGCAATTTAGCGATACGAAGCCGCTGGTATTGGCTGTGCTGAAGCTGCTTCGAGTGCTCGTGGCGGAGAGGAAACCTAGACGTTACGTCTATTTTCCCATACAAAGCTAACTGTACACTATATACTTTAAATGCACCGTAGACGGGGTACAACTCACTCACTCGCTGTAATTTGGCCGAGTGTTTAACTAAACGGAAGTGGATCATAAAACACTTGGCTTATGAACGGTAGTTGAGTGAATTGAGTGCACAGTTGACCCCTACTTAATGTCAACCTGAAACCTGCATCATTTCTTTAAACACCCCCCCCCCCCTTTCAAGTTGACGTGCTGTTACATATATATCAAACCCACAATAAATCAAACTCGTTGATCGGAGGATACAAGTTTGATTCGTATAAAGTGTTCAGTGTTTTGAACGTTACTTGAATGTTTAGTAGTGTCTTCGTTTTTCTATGCTTACCCGTTAAGCTTCGGAAATTTAAAATGTATCACTTCAATTGTTTATTTTACCGATTGCTGGATAATAATACGTAAGTAATACCAAATTAATGAAAATAAAGTTATGACAAATAATATACATTGAGTAAAAAGTATGTTTTGCAGATAATATTTGTAAAATTAACAGCCAGACCACAATTCCTTACGTTATTATCACATAAGACCAAACTAGGTGCAAGATGGTGTTCATTACTCTTTTGATGGAATGTTGCTTAAAGCGGGGTAAATCCATGCCCATATTTTAGTAACAACACAATACCAGTTAACTAAAAGCAAAAGTTTTATTGTAAAGAAAGTATAAAGAATATACATATACATCTCAACAAGAATAAAATACATCTCAAAATCTGAGCATATCTGTGGAATAATACTGACAGGTCGTATCATCTATACAAATGATATAGAAATTGGAGTTTGTTTTCAATTCTGTTCACATAGCAAATGACTAGATGAGGTATTGCTCCAAGAGAAAATGCACATTGGTATAAATGCCGTTGACGTATAGTATTAATGCGAGTCATTATTTACAAGCGACGTCTGTTGACGGAAGCACTCTTGTTCCTGCGGGTGTGAGAGAACCCTTTCATCTTGAAATTGTTCGAACTAAACTACAAGTCAGTCTAATCACAGTTATGAGAGTACAGTTATTTTAGTATGGATAAGAAGGTGCTTTTATCGCCGCTTTGCACAGTATTTCAGCTATCTAACGGCGTTTCAGCTGAATGAGGAGTGAGTTTAGTTTTACGCCGCTTTCAAATATCACGGCGGGGGACACCAGAAATAGGCTTCACATTTTGTACCCATGTGGGGAATCGAACCTGGGTCTTCAGCGTGACGAGCGAACGCTTTAACCACTAGGCTACAAAACCACCCACTCAATGAGGAGGAAAGCCCGCATGTTTCAGACGTTTACCAAAGTGGTGAAACCCAGCGTGGTTTGGACCTCACAAACCTTAAATATAATCAGGGCGAAACAAGATTCAAACCCACGATCATAGGTTTCTGCAAAGAGAGCTCGGTCTCCACATATACAGGAACCTCATTTTCTTGATATCATCAGCTGGAAATTAAAACTGAATATATTTGCGTGCACATCCATCGTACAATTCCGAGCGTTCCATTTTGAGACAAATATGGTTATATATAATAACAAAAAGCAATAACAAAAAGATAACGAAAACAAAAACAGCACCGTGTGATCTTTCTAGACAGTTGAAATGCAGAAATTGTGGAACACATCGATTCAACGTGAACACGCATCGCTCAGCTAAAACCCCGTTACTGTACAGTTCAGATCGGAATTATCCGAATTGACATATTTCCTCATCAGGTATTCATCAGCATTTAGGGGTTTTGTCCAATTATACACATATGTATGAAAGTACTGACAAATAACTGTCCGGAAATGGGGGTTTCCTGATTAACAGGGTATCACTGTATTGGTACTTAGTATACACTAACTGATACATATTACACATACATGACTGAGATTCTTTTGAGCAGGGTCCATATACGGTACGAGTATTGTGAATCTACATATACAGGTATGGGCTTTACGATCGCCGTAGATATGAAAGAGGTTTCTAAAGTGAACATGTGCCACTGGATCCTGGTAATGAGGGTAAACATAAAGTGTAAGGGTGATACATGAGATACGATCTGAAGTAGCAGCCAGACAAGGCAGTACTAGGATGGTTAATTAGTGAGTGAATGACTATGGTTTAACGCCGTTTTTAGCAATATTCCAGCAATATCACGGCGATGGACACCAGAAATGGGCTTCACACTTTGTACCATTGCGGGGGATCGAACCCGGTCCTTCGGTGTGACGAGCAAACCCTTTAACCACAAGGCTTACTTTTTAACCAGATCTGCTGGGACTGTCACCCCCGCAAGCACACAATCCTTTAAATCCTAAACATTCGAAACACAATATAAGATGCAAACGGGTAACTGAATGATATGTTGCTGTTTTACGACAGCAATACAATAATCACTATCACAGTAAGATGACGATCTCGATATGGAAACAGCACAATATGTATGAAAGAAACGTGGGTCTACATGTACTACATCCTGGTATCAGCCAGTGGTGAAGCGTTGCAGAAAAGGTAAATGGATGTTTTGGAGCAACAAAAAATAAAGTCTTTGGTTATAGCGGGACAACAATTGCAATAGGTTCTTAAAAAATTAGATTCATTTTGTTCATTTTTCGATTCTCTATAAATGTGTTTGAACACAGACACACTTGTGCCTACTTTGTAAATGCTTGGCAAGGAAAGGGTCGGATCATTAAACGGCCTTCTATAAGCTCAGCATCAAGCGTATACGTGTTAATAAGAATCAGCACAATTTAATTACTGACATGGTAAGAAGAATATGAATAATAAAATATATTAAACTATCTCGAAAACAATTAATGTGTCATTTGAAAAACATATTCATGTCATCTATTTGAGAAACTACATTACGGAGACTAGACCTTAATAACCACATCATTCCAATAATTGCAACTGCTTATATCAAAGACACAGCGAATGATTACAAAGGTATAAATGAAAGATAAAAATCTCTTGAAATATACGAATAGATAGGCAAGTTGATATTGCAGGAGCATGTTCATTTATGTTCTTATCCAAATGGATGTGCCAGTCGACTTTCTCCTAGTCGTATTAAACAAGTGAAAACATTATTTCATTGCCCGGGTTAAATATTGTAATTACAGGTTATAGTGGCCAGAACATGGCCACTATGTTATTCATATAGAGCATGAAACATATACACGATTGGTGCTGTTTGTAAATACAGTGATATCATTTCCTTTTCATCAATTGTGCATGACCTCCCTGCATTAGCACATAAACTTCTATTAATTTGCAGACATTCAGAATATGAAAAATATGTAACAAATATTCAATATATGTCAATACAGTAATGATCTTCCTGTTTGAGCTCCGTGTACTCACAGGTCAACTTCTTTTAATTTCCTGAGGTGCGTTGTAGCGCCATGTTTCCCATCTGAAATCACCTCCAACTCCATCTTGTCTCTGTTTTCTAGTTCCTTCTTTCTCTGTTCTTTCCTTTCGTTCCTTACTTCTCTGTTTTTGTTGAAGAGGTGCCACAGCGCCTCCACGATGTCTCCTAGCACCATGATGCTGGAGTTGTTGGCCACGGCTCTCAGAACCAAGACACCGTCGTCGCGGATGTAGTCGTCAATGAATTTGCGACACAGTTCCTTTTCATCTTCAACGTTGACGAACCTGCTCAGATATTTTTCGACATAACGCACCCTGTTGCGTCTGTAGACGAGGTTGTAGGACCACACGAGCGTTGACACTGCGTTCACGCATGCAAGGAATAGAAACCAGAACCACAGAATAGCAAAGATCTTTTCAGATAGCATGTTGATTGAAAGGACGCATTGGTAGGTGAAGGTGTTGACGTTCTGTTGTTGACGTATTTTGACGTCACAGTAGGTGACTCTTGGAAAAGCCGTCGTGTCCGTGATTTCGCCATTTTCCAGAAGATTGCTGAGCACCAGAATGCCAAACTTGAGGAAATCAAATCCGAGGAGCGCATTTAGGAGGAAATATTGTCCAACTGAGTTAGCGACATAAAGAATTTTGGAAAAGAAATACAGTCCAACCAAATACGTTCCGTTGCGGGATCCTAAAGGGAAGAAAAGGATGCTAAGTCTGGACATCCGCCGGCGCATGCGCGAGAAGATGGTGTACCTACGTTCGCGTTCAAAGATAAGCCAGCTGTGAATATAGGCTGCAATATTTGTTACGGTCGTCGCTCTTTCCTTTGGCTTTGAATACTGTGTTTTCTGTGAAAGGGAGGTAATCTTCTCAATGTTGATTCCACCGTTGCCTTGGCACAGGCTCCAAATCATGTTCGGCATTTTAAACATCAGAGCCTGAAAATATGAACGATTTATTATACCTTTATGATTCTGTGCTATTGAGATTTTACGATAAACATCATGTATATAACAACGTTACTTATACTGTTTCCTGGGTAGGACAAGATTGAGTACATTAACTGCTACCTGCGTCGGGGTCGTCGTCATAATCATCACCATCATCTGATCAGCTCAATTATCATCATGTGCTTGTCATCAGCGATGAAGACATAGATTTGTTTATTACTCATTTTGTGTCCTTATCCGGGGACCGCCTCCGTGGTGTAGTGGTTAGAGCGTCCCAGCGGAGAGTGGAAGGTCGCGGGTTCGATCCCCTACCGCGTCATACCAAAAGACGTTAAAATATGGTACTTGTTGGTCCCTGCCTGGAGCTCGGCATTAATGGGTACATCAAGGACTGGTCGGCTCGGAGTCAGTATAATGCGTCTGAGTGGGGTATTCATGCTTCACTGCGGCGTGGTATCTCAGTGGGCTAGCACTATAAAACCAGCTTAAGTTTGGGCTAGTACAAGCAGCCGCACATACACATACACACGCATGCACGTCGTCATATGAGCGAAATATTCTCAAGCACGACGTTAAACCCAAATTCACCTCACCTCACCTTATCCGGGCGTTTCTTGTGTTGTTACAGACCTACAGTGTTTATGAATTTGAGCCTGACGATTGGTATTTTCTGTAGCCTGTGTCTCTGCATTGCTTCAGGGACGTTCCGTTAAGGACTTTGTATTATCATTAACTGTGACGGAGGTACACCGTGGCGTATTTAATTTCACGACGACTGCTCAAAGTTTATTCTAGCCTTGATGTGATCTTGATTAAGCAGGCATGTTGTTTAATGCCACACTCCGCAATATTCCTAATATATGGCGGCGGTCTGTAAATAATCGAGTCTGGACCAGACAATCCAATGATCAACAGAATGAGCATCGATCTACGCAATTGGGATACGATGACAAGATGTGTCGAAGTGTGATGACACGGTTAAAGAGAGTAGAGAGATTCCACAGAAGCCTCTGGACTCACCTGGACTAAGAGGATAATAGGAAGCCATTGGTAGTACTTGAGTTCCGCCTTCTGACGTTCCTTCTCTTCCACCGGGAGGGGGTGGCTGATGGGGGCGTTGTAGGTGTTCTTCACCCAGCAGGAATTGTGGATGTAGTCCGCCTGAAAGTGGGAAATATAGCATTTAACATTGGGAGGTGAAGTTAGGCTTACCGTCGCATGAAGATTATTGCACGACGTTTTTAATTTTTTATTTATTTTGTGTGTGTATGTGTGTGTGTGTGAGAGAGAGAGAGAGAGAGAGAGAGAGAGAGAGAGAGAGAGAGAGAGAGAGAGAGCATGTGTGTGAGAGTGAGTGAGTTTGTCTGTGCGTCCGATTGTCCATGAGATTACTTAAGTCGAATACCCTCTAATCACATTATGCCCATGCAACTGACCTGCTAAGACGTGTGTCTGCGTACTAAATGAACCTGCTGATAACATATTCACTTAAAACTTATTCCCCATGTCGAATACCCATACCAACCGATCACCTCTGAGGAATGCCAGTAGTGCAACTGGCCGTTATTACTATTAATACACGTATTTACTGACACCCTGCGATGGCGTATGCCGATCACAAAAATGCCCCCAGCCCATCTGTATACGTACAACTGATCCCCCGTACAAACGGACCCCTTCTCCCATCTGACTTCGGTTATCACTACAAATTGACCCCTCTGACTTCGTATATTCGTAAACATATCCGTATATGACCCCCTCTAACGTCGTATACCCGTATAAACTGACCCGCTCTTATTGCATATGCCAGTATAAATTGAACCCCTCCGACGACGTATACCCGTACAACTGACCCCTCTGACGTCGTATGGCCGTACAAACTGACCCACTGACGTCGTATATCCGTACAAACTGCTCCGCCCTGATGTCGTTTACCCGTACAAACTGATCCCCACTGACGTCATACACCCGTACGTCACCACCACTGACGTTGCATACCCGTACAAACTGCACACACACACACACCCACACCCCACCCCCAACCCCCACCCCCCTCCCGATGACGTATACCCGTACAACTGACCCCTCTGACGTCATACACCCGTACAAACTGACCACCACTGATGTAACATACCCGTACAAACTGACTCCCACCCCCCACATCCACCCACACACCCTGCCAGTTATCTATACCCACGTACATGGTCGGTATCCTTGGAGATCCAACATTTGATGGGGCTGCCGGCGATCTGAGTAGTGGTGATGACGAGGCAGAAAAACGTGAGGAGGAATGTCGTCCAGTTGTGGTTGAGGCGGTCGGAGAAGCCGTCGTCGCAGGGAACGCCGATCCCCACAAGTTCTGAGGCAGAGCCGAATAAAGATCCGAGCACACTAAGCCTGGTAAACCGTCAACAAAAGAAGGGTATGAAACACATTTTGTTACTGACGTATACACTTAAGGAATCCATTTAAATTACCTTTTTCGATAAATCATTCATCTCGGTGAAATTCGAACTTTGAAAAGATACACTCGAGAGGGGTACATGCATATGATGTTCGAAGGCCAACATGTCTGCTGTATACGATATGGCATGATGTTTATCATCTTAATTAATTAGATGTCGTCATACGACTATCCCACTATGCGATATGATAATAACCAAAGCGCCTGTTTCCACACACTTGTACATGATAAAGCCATAATTATTCCAGATTACCAAGCTGTCTGAGGCACTAGAGGGTTATCTGACTTGTCCCACCGGGTACCCATTCACTGCCGGACGAACATAGGCAATTCATAAACAAACCCACTAGCATCGGGTGAGACCACATGTGTTACGTGAGTTTGTTAGTTGTGGGGCAGGACAGAGGTCTTAGAAACTCTCAGGAGTCAAGCCTCCAAACACGGTCACCCATCCAAGGACCGGTCACCCGACCAACGTTGCTTAACTTAAGTGAAGGGCCTAGATTTTCGAAGCTCTCTTAGCGCTGAGATAGTCGTAAGTGCCGTACATTAACATTAACTTACGACTATCTTAGCGCTAAGAGAGCTTCGAAAATCTAGGCCCTGGGTGCTATGCACAGGACCACACACCACGCACACACACCACACACACACCACACACTGCCACATATTATGTATTGTGATCTTTTGTTCATAATAGATCGTGTATCGTGAAAAGGAATTCAAGTGAGTGAGTGGATTTAGTTTTACGACGCACTCAGCAATATTCCAGCTATATGGCGGCGGTCTGTAAATAATCGAGTCTGGACCAGACAATCCAGTAATCAACACCATGAGCATCTATCTACGCAACTGGGAACCGATGACATGTGTGAACAAGTCAGCAAGCCTGACCACCCGATCCCGTATGTCGCCTCTTACGACAAGCATGGGTTACTGAAGATCAATATTCTAACCCGGACCTTCACGGGTAAAGGAATTCAAGATAACTTTGGGTGAATTTACTTCATTCGCAATAAACACTATTAATATGTTTAAAACATCTTTAATATCTCCCCATATTTGAAAATACACCATCATTTTTTTATTCAAGTTTCAACTAAATATTGAAAGACAAGACCGGTTAGAAAAATAAACTACAATAGAATTTACCACTTAAAATTATGGACAATGTACATTGCAGATATAAAATATATATTGTTAATGAGAACCCTGGTTATTCAAACGTAGGTACGACCTATTTTGCCAAAATGGTTATTCTATCTAAATTTCGTGTTTTCATGTGGAACGAGACTAACATTAGAAACAAGTCGGAATTAAATATAAATCGATTCAGGTAAATGTGTTTCGTTTTCTTATCCTCTAAAGAATGCAATCCATACATTGTTGTACTGGGGAGTCATTACATTCTTAGTAAATGTATCTGTCTCCACCGAAATGTCGAAATGTTGGAAATGAATTTCAGAAAAGTATGTGGAACCTATGATATTTCTAAATATTAGAAAAATACGCAGATCTAGACGAGCTATGCAGGGATCTCAATTCGAAATACTAGTATACTAAAATTAAACACACCGGAAATGTTACAAGCAATCGAGAATATTTCGATCACCCGACCAAGAAACTTATTTAGTAAAGTGAGTGAGACTGGTTTTACGCCTCTTTTAGCAATATTCCAGCAACATCACGGCGGGGAACACCAGAAATGGGCGTCACTCATTGTACTCATGTAGGGAATCGAACCCGGGTCTTCAGCGTGACGAGCGGACGCTTTAACCATTAGGCTACCCCACTGCCCCAATTTAGTAAAGTACTCCATGAAAATATAGACGCGTAGAAAATGAAAGTGTGTAAAATATAAATATGATTTTCTTATCACTTGTTTCAATAACGAAACAAATAAAAAACACGGCATGTCTTGAAACAGATTCAGAAATATGAGAAATACACGGTGTGTAGGGATACCACAATCACGTTCATTAATGCAAACATCAGATTGAAGCTTATACACGGGAGATAACTCCTGAAACGCTCGCGCTCCGTTACGCATTACGACATAACTGCTTGAATGTTTCAGCGAAGGAAATTTCCAACGCCTGTCGGAAATATACGAGCTTTGCCGACTGTCATTTGACCTCGTTATTTGAGTCGGTTATTGCAACAGACCCGGACGCTGATTTCTGTCTCCGGAAATCCCCGTTGGACTTCGGGAGTGTTATCGCAAACGTGACTAAGAGCAATGCCACTTTCACACAGGTCAATGTGTTCGAAAACAACCCCGGGCCCTCTGTGACTAACACTCTCTCCAAACTACCGTCAGTCCTTGATAAAATGAATTTGAAGTTTACGATTTATTAGACTAAGGCTTAGTCTCTGAATATATATAATTTTGATAGTAACAAACAAGCCCATTTATATTGAAAAGGAGCCCTAGGGAGACCAGAGATTCAGAACCTGAACCTGAGGAAATCTAGACTTGCTTTATTTAGGGCTTTAGCACGGCAGAGAGGGCTTGGCAGTGGGGAAAATAATGTGGTTCAGGGACTGTGAGACAGACTAACAATTTATTGAAACGTGTACACATAAGGTGTAAAATGTTAAAATGTAACTCTATACAGGCTGAAATCGTTTTGTTGTAAAAGCTTTTACGTGGGAAGTACTTCAAGATGAATGCACGCACTCAAACGCACACAAACGCACACAAACGCATGCGTATGTCAGCTGCTTGGTCGATCCTAATAATGCTTCAGTGTCAGTGTCTATTTCAGTTTTAACACAAAACTACTATCGTTGTAAAAATGGTGATCTCCCTAAAACAATCAAATGCCATATTCACTACATGCAAACCAGCTTCTGTTTTGTCAGATAGTTCATGTCAAAACCTGTTGTGATGTTCCACAAAAAAGTCAAGTGTTTAATACAGTAATGCATTTTTGTTTTATTCTGTATTGTGAATATGTGAATCTTCTTTAGAATAGTCTCTCTCAACACCACAGGGTGTAGCCAATGTTTGAATTATATTTTGTATTATTGCTGTAACGTATAGGGTGAAATTATAAATATTAAATCTATCTATCACAGTCTAACACTCAAGAAACTCAAGGACCTACGTTAATACTTTGAGTTATCCGAGGTTCGGCACAACTCAAAATGCTGACTAAGCAGGAATACGCAGTCACTCCGAGACAACAGCAACTTCGACACTTCAAAGTTCGAGTTTGACTGTTTTTTTAAAACGAAGCTGGAAGCCTCTTTGTTAAAACACATACAATAGAATGTGTTTTGTTTGTTTGTTGTTTAACGCCGCAATCAGCAATATTCCAGCTATATGGCTACGGTCTGTAAATATTCGAGTCTGGACTAGATAACCCAGTGATCAACAACAATTGCAAGTGGGATACGATGACATGTGTCAACCAAGTCAGCGAAAATGACCACCCGATCCCGTTAGTCGTCTCTTACGCTATGCATGGGTTGCTAAAGACCAATTCAAACCCGGAATCAATACGACGGAAATAACAACTTATATCCACCTGGTATCATCACTTTTTTTATCGCGAATCCTTGTCATGTTGTTAGTCACTTGATTGTCTGGTCCAGACACCATTGTTTACAGACCGCGTCATACAGTCATACAGCTGTAAAAACTGCTGAACGCGACGTCAAACACGTACACATGATATAGTCAGAATTGTACAATCGACTCTGCCTTTAGCACATACATACATACATACATACATACATACATACATACATACATACATACATACATACATACATACATACATACATACAGAGCTCCAGATAAGATTTAGCTCATGTGGGTACTGTACCCACTGTATTTTTGGGGAGTGGGTATTATGAATATTGAGTGGGTATTTCATATACGTTACCCACTGCTTTCAGATATGTGCGTATTTCAGTCATTTTACTCACCTAAGTATTATGTCATTGAGTAAGTTTACTAAGCAGGTATATAATGGAAATGATTTCATAAAAAATCACTCATCCTATACTGACAGTACAACACTAGTCCTATACTAACTGTACAACTTGATAGCAAGCGATGTCTTTTTCATTACGCAAGCGATTTTTATAAATATATTCCGTACGCATTTGTTTTAAACTTTTTGCGTATCTGACATTGTAAATGCATAATTTGTACGCAACAATTAGTTTTTCAATGCGTAATTGGAAATTTTCTATGCGTACTTTACCCGGATACGCAGCTTATCTGGGCCTCTGTAACATACATACATACATACATACATACATACATACATACATACATACATACATACATACATACATACATACATACATACATACATACATACATACATACATACATACATACATACACATACATAGAGTTCATCTCATTGAAGTAAACTTGTCGCCAATTCAGATTGCTAATTGTTAAGAAAATATATCTATGACGAGACCTATTAAGCATAATAAATATCGCATACAGTGTGCATTTGCCTGTAATACCTATCACTCTCTGAACTGATTAAACAAAAGGCATGCCTTTCGTATAAAATGACAGATCGAGGCCAGATTTGTAAACCGACCCTTATATCGTAAAACATGCGGATTAACAGAATTTGTTTTTGAGGATGGAAACATCAATCAGTGAATGTGAATATGTATAATGTAAATTAGTTTAGTATACAGGCATTGATACTCAACACTGTTTTAGTTGATATCCAGTATCGAATAAATGGAAACTGAAAACGTTCACTTACTATAATTTTTATTTCACCCCTGCAATAACTGAAACCTGGATATCTCGGCATCATGGGGGATATCTATTGTATCGAATTATCGCAGTTCGACTAGAGGTTCAAGACCATGTAAACGCTACCGGGACCTAAAACCTCGCCTTAATCGATATGTCGACTAAAATGAGACATACTAAAAGTCACATGGTTAGACGTATCCACAAGGGCACTTGTTGGGGATTTTTTTCAAAAAAATTCACGAATTAATTGTGATCATATTGCTGCCAATGTAAGTGGCCATGTAAACAAACAGAAATGGTTTATCAACATTTTCACACATTGCTCATTTTTAAAAAAGTTTTTTTTATTTTAAATGAATACACTGAGGACTTTATACGTGTCTAACTTTTAATGTCGTTATCGATCTTTTTGCGAACGTTCTATCATCTTCCTAACGCGGAAGAATTAAAAACTGAATTTTTTTAAATTGATGAAACAAAAGGCCTATTCAAAGCCTTTGTAGGGAATATATTGTGACGTAAGATCAAGGTTTCAGTTATTCGGTTATCACAGTCCTAGCCAAACTAAAGCGTCACAAAGTTTGAAAATAATGAGAAATGATATCTTTGAGCTACAGAGTCCTAAAGTAGATACAAAATTTTACTTACATATCACTCGACTTGCTCTAATATTGACTGACTGTCAACTGAATGTGACTGTCTTCGAGTTCCGCTATAAGCGGAAATTATGGCGAAATAGCGGGAGTGGCGCATACTGTAAAATCTGCAAGAGCTTACGTCACTAACTCAGTGATGATATTGTTCAAACTCGTATTTATTTATTTTCACTCGGGTGACTTTAGTTTTGGATAACCGATGTCACAATGAATTGTCACAAGTGCACTGTGGGGCGTTAAGGCTGACCCGCATTCCTCAGTTGGACTAGGCGCCTGTCTTACAAGTACGTGCGTTATTCCAGTTGCGCATTTTGTCAAGCAGACTAGTTTGCAATGCTGCGATGTCTATTTTCTTGAATGATGTAAGGGAAGTAACTCTTGGTCGTCAATCTCCATGCAATGGTCCTATAGTTGATGTGTTACAGTGAATGGTTCGCAGTGATAAAACTTTTAGAGAATATTATTATTAATAGTTTTTCATTCCCTTTTGTATAGTCACGCGTTCACATGGCCTTATTTAAGCGCCGTGTTTTAAAAAAAATTTATTGTCATCTTCAGCCTACAAGAAAGCGGGCGGGCATACAAATAAATGAAAATATTTAAAATATATGTACATTGTTCTTTACTGATTGTGCAACTTAATTAAGAAATTTCAAATCAATTAATTCAGTCATTGAATTACTCTGTTGTGTAAATCGAGTCGCAGGTTTTTAGTAAATGTAGATTTAGAAAGGTCAAGCTGACCTCGGTTACATGGGTATGCAAGGATAAGAGCGGGTATTTATTACATCGGGGCATAACGGTCCACAAAATAATAAAAAAGTTGTTTAAGAAACTATCATTAAACTATTGACACATTTCACTATTTGTTACGAGGGAGGAGTGCAGAGAGGGGAACAGCCAGATGTTCGAAAAAGGATCGGCACAGGTAAATGAATCAATAGCACACCTGGCTGTTCCTCTGTCTGCACTCCTCCCTCGTAACATATAGTGAACTATATCAATATTTTAATGATAGTTTGTTAAACAACTTTTTAATTATTAAATCATAATTCATGACATTTACAATGGTAGAAAAATTATAATGCATCATGCCAAATTAGAAAACGATTGTACTTGTAGTGTTTGAGTAAACACCGTCACGAAAGGTTTTCTGCCAGACTATACAGTTAGCTTTCTGTCAGATGTATATGTTAACTATATGTTACCCTTGACAACACCTTCGGGTTTATGTGGAACGCGTCATACTTTGGTGTACGTTTCATATATTCACGTGTACTACTCCAGGTGTATCTAGATTACCTAATTCTGTTTAACTTGTCACGCTTGTGAACATCGTGTTATCATTTTGTGTAAATTCCCACAGGAGCGATGTGTTAGCTACAGTGCGTCTTATATATAATATTTAATCATATAATACGTAACGTAATTAACAGTGAAACCTGTCTAAACCGGCACCCAACGGGTCCGAAATAAAATGCCGGTTTAGACAGGGTGCCGGATTAGACAGTGACGATCATTTTACAACATGGCTGCCATTTACAATCGTCAATCTCTTTATCTCTATAATGCCTTTGACTTTTTGCAATTTTAGAACACCAATGCACAGGAAGCTTATCTAGGGAAAAGTTTTTTAAACATCTTGGCAACGTACATCATTGCTGTTTATGGTCTATATGTAATAGTCTCCTATAAATGATTGAAACATTCTATTATAAAAATGAGTCACTGTGTAAATAGCCAGTGGTAGATTTATTATGTGAATGACTCGTTTACCTCTTATCGTGAATTGTGAACATTATGTTATCAGGGGTGGTAGGGTAGCCTAATGGTTAAAGCATTTGCTCGTCACGCCGAAGACCCGGGTTCGAATCCCCACATGGGCACAATGTGTGAAGCCCATTTCTGGTGTCCCCCGCCATGATGTTGCTGGAATATTGCTAAAAGCGGCGTAAAACCAAACTCAGTCAGTCAGTCAGTTATGTTATCATTTTATGTGAATGACCACTGTGATGATGTGTTAATTACAGTGCGTGAGAGGGACTGTGGGGTAGCCTAATGGTTAAAGCGTTGGTTCGTCCCGCCGAAGACCCGGGTTCGAATCCCCACATGGGCACAATGTGTGAAGCCCATTTCTGGTGTCCCCCGCCGTGATATTGCTGGAATATTGCTAAAAGCGGCGTAAAACCAAAACTCACTCACTCAGATATATAATGTTTAATCATGTATAAACTTTTGTATTACGTTAGGTTACGTATCATATATCACGTTACGCTATCTATATCATTGCTGTTCCTGGTATATATGTACTTCTATATATGATTGAAACATTCTATCATAAAACATTATTGCAAAAACTCGTCATTCATTTACTCCCGTCGTGTGTTGTATAGGTTGGTAGTCCACATTGGCACCCCTGCCAATTAAGCTTATTCTCCAACTCTCGTCCTCATAGTAGCAATAGAAAATCGAGTTTGTCAATATCTTTAAATTGATCGTGATCGTGATGCAAATTTGCTTCATTTTGATTAAGGTTGTAATATTAGGAGGACACCTGACAGCCAGCAACTACACGACAACGTGGCAAACCGATGTGTATGTAAATGAATTTATGGATGATTCACGCAAAAATGGTTGAAAATGAAAAGTATACTCATCTGTTCTATTCAGTCGTCAAGGGCAAGCATGAAACTAGCCATTAAAAAATTAAACAAAAATAGGTCCCCTCATCCTAAATTCTTCGGCAATTTGTTGCTATCATGATCAAAGTCTTCACTGAATCATAGACATGGATCATGGGACATCGGATGCCTTATTATAGCCTTCAATGTTGCACATTGCGGTTAGGCCAAGATAAAAAAACAACAACAACAATTGTTTCTCGTCATTGTGTGTAGCTCCTGTTGTCTGATATTTTCCAATTCTTTGTAAAATCAAATATCATTTAATTGTGTAAAACATTTTACAGAACATGGTTCAGAAGAATAGAAAATACAAAACCTAATTGTTATCATTATAATTAGTACCTGTGAAGATCCGGGTTAGAATTGGTCTTCAGCAACCCATTCTAATCGTAAGGCGACTAACGGGATCGTGTGGTCAGGCTCGCTCACTTGGCTGACACATGCGACGTGATGTCACCGTATCCCATTTGTGTAGATCATGCTGTTGATCACTGGATTGTCTCGTCCAGACTCGATTATTTACAGACCGCCGTCAAATAACTTGAATATTGCCGAGTGCGGCGTTAAACAACCAACCAACCAACCAAATCATAATACTCAGAGGTACTGTACGATGAGTGGTTGCCTTTCGTTGACCAACTATTTGCTACATGTCACTTTAACTGAATTGGTACAGACGAAAAAGGTTTCCTGGGGAGTAGGGAGGAACACACTCAACGCTAATCAAACGTCGGCTGTGCGTATCTTTGGCAACGTCTGGCCAACCCCAACCCAACGCTGGACCGTTGGTCAAGAAAACGTTGTGCAAGTGTAAGTGTAGACTAACAACTAGTCTCTGAAATGAACATATTTTACTGAAAAAAGTTCATAGTACAAAAAAATATAATATAATGAAAAGGAGCCCTGAGTCTTTCTTCATTCCTGAAGCTGAGGAAATCTAGACTTGCCACATTTTCTAGACTTGCGTGGGCTTTCTTGGATATATTTGCTTCAGGGTCTGTACGACAGACTATAGTATGGCAGTATATACAATGGGGGTTCTGGACCACTTTCAACCAAAGCCTCTGCAAAGCCTTATTTCACAAGTAAGGCTTTGGTCGGACCCTTAGCTCTTGCTACCATTACCCCTACTATGAAAAAGTTTGGGACGATAGCGGGACCTCCTAGCCGCACCGGGGGCATGGCTGGAGTGTGTTGGTATCCTGGGGCACCGCTTATGCCGTGTTGACCGGAGGTAACACTGTGCCGTACGGTACGATCAATAATTCCGCTCTTACAAACCCTCTACCTGGCCCATCCCTCAAGTAGTACAAGTTAGGCTCGTCGGCTTTCATGTCAACTTTATCTATGTTGTAAGTTTTGATTGACCATATAGGATCGGTGGCTCGCTTACGGCTATCACCCTCGTGTTCCCCCGGCTGGTATAGATACCTTACTAGGGCCCTATCTGGTATCTGTTTCTCCTTCCCACGCAATGGAGCAGCCGACTCTGCCACTATTGATTTTAGTTTGATAGCGCCTGCCGGTTTCTTGCCGTGAGACGGGTGACTTCATGGTTGATTGCCGACACCACCTTAGGGAGCCGCGGATACCCATTCAGTCGATCGCTTTCCCGGGTGGCCATCTCCCTCGCATACTGATGCCCAAATAAGCGCCAGCCAAAGTCCTATTGAATCTCTCAACTATGGCTTGGCTGCGATGGGCTCCAGCCGCGCTACGCCTGACCTTTGTATCGCGGTTTGGTTAGCAGTTGTGACACGGCACCCATGAACTCCCGCCCGGGTCAACTTGCAGCTCTGTTGGCCACGCCAGCGACTGGCGCTTTGTATATGCGCTCAATCCTCTGGCTACCTGGGCAGAATCTTCGCGGGTCAAGGGTTCGGCTTCCTTTGTAGCGACTGGCTACGCCCACTACGGTTAAGGCATACTTGTACCTCTTGTCGGGTAGGAATAGGAGGTCGGCCTGGTGAACGCTATTAGGTATGTTAATACCGAACCTCCTTCTAGGCACGTGAGCGCGGTGCCGGTAAATAGATCTGCCACAGGGCTTGTTTTTCAAGCCACGCTTTGGCTTCTCCGGGTGCACTCGCCCATTTTAGCCAGCTTATCTACAGCGCTTAGCTCCTTTCCAGTACCCACGCTGGCTGTAGTAAATAGCCTCAAACTTTTCTGGTTCCGCTTCTTGGTTCAATTTTTCTCATGCCCGTGACGCTGCATCGCGTTGATCCCATCAATAGCTATCCAACGCTTAGTGTCCATAGGCGACAGGGACGTCTTGTTTATTGTCAGTCCGTATATCCTATGGCCATCACTTCTAAGTGTGTTCATTTTATGCCTAAATGTACGGGTCTTGAACA